ACAATACACCATCTGGGACAGGTATTGATGGAGACTGTTACTGGGGGAGGTCTAAGAAGTTTGGAAACCACCGATCAATGACGCTTACCTGTACAAAGGACGGCCGGGCCACGCAGGGGAGAGGCATTAACATCCAGTCCGGGCCGCTCTCCCCAGGCAAGCTTGGGTGAACAGCCCTGGCTAAGGGAGCCCTTTCCCTCTGCAGACTTGGCCCTGCCTCATGGTAGCTTTGCCCAGGTGACCCGCTACCTCCCACGCCCCGTGCTTGGGACAGGATTGGGCCCAGGCAATGAGAAAGCCAGAGCCAGGGACACGCCTCACTCACCAGAAAAGCAGAAGCCCAGGATCACACTCTGCCTGGTGCGGGCCTGGCCTGCCAGGATGCTGCAGTGCCTGGGGCCAGGGCCATGCCAGGCTCCAACCCATGGAGTGGTGACAGCCCCATTCTCTAGCCCCACCTCCCCCCGCCACGGGTGGGGAGGGCAGCAGAGGCCATGTGGAGCTACCAGGGCTGGCTGCAATGGGCAGGGAGGGAAGCATCTGCAGTGTCCCCCTGCCCCCAGCAGGCAGAGGGAAGCGAATGTCCCACCCTGTCCCACCACTGAAGCTGGAATGGGTGCCCCAGGCATTGGTGGGGGGAGCCTGGCCAGGTGCCATTCCCTGCCCCATCCAGCTGCGGAGAGGGGGACCAGCGGCAGGGTAGGCAGGGAGCCAGGCTGGGTGCCACAGTGCGGTGAGCTGGTGAACTGGTGGCAGTGAGGTACCTGGCAGTGGTAGCAGTAGCCTGGGGAGGAGGCAGCAAGTGGCAGCGAGGCCCCTCCATGCCAGGCGTGGGTTTCGGATCCCTGGGCGGGGGCGTGGAGCCATTGTGTCTCAATGCCTGGGCTGAGTCAGAGCAGCGGCCACACACCACGTGGCTCCGACCCAGGCAGCCAGAGCAGCTGCCACCTGCCATGTGGTCCACATGGGCCACAGTTTCAGCCCTGATTGGGGTCTGAGAAGGGTTGAGGCCTCCGATTGGTGGCACCGGCTGTGAGCTGAGGCCAGAGGTGAACAATTTGGGGTACAAGAGGGGGCTCCATGCCAGAGGGTGGAGCCAAGGGGCTCAGAGTGTGAGAAGGGAACAGGCTCAGTTCTGGGGTGGAGCACGCAATGAGGGATTTAGGGCTCACAGCTGGGGTTGGGGTGTGGGAGGGAGCTCCGTGTAGCACTTGCTTCAGAGGGTGCCCTGGAAGCAGCAACGTCTCCCTCAGTTCTGAGGCATAGGATTGGGCAGGCAGCTCTGTGCGGTGTGGGCTGCCACCACTCGCAGGTGCCACTCCCAGTGACTATGGTCAAGTTCCCTCTAAGCTCATTGGAGCAGGCTCTGCAACTGCGTAATGAGACTTGGCCAGAAGTTCAGGGCTGCTGCGCATGGACCTGGCTGAGGGTCTCAAGACCTGCTGCTCTGTCCTCAGCAGGGAGCTGCTGCTGTTGCTGAGGGAGAAGAACCCCTCCTCTAGCCAGGCAGTTCAGTGCATGGTAGACCTGAGCCTCTGACTAGGCAGGGCTCATTAAACAGCTGCATGTCTGTGCTGCCCTGCAGCTTGGAAAGATCCTGGGCTGTGGTTCCCAGGCAATTGGAGCTGTAGAGCCAGAACAGAATGGGGGCAGTGTGTGGAGTCCCCCATCTATTCCTCTGCCTAGGAGCCAAAGGGACATATTGCCACTTCCGGGAGATTTGTGGACACAGGCAGGGAGCCTGACAGCACCACCAACTAAATTTTTAATTGCCTCGTCAGCAGTGCTGACCGGAGTCACCAAGGTGCCTTTTTGACCAGGCATTCTAGTTGAAAAGTGGACACTTGACAATTGTAACAGAGCCTTAACTGAGAGGGCAGCTTTAAGGACTCTATGGGCAGCATTAGACCATGAAAGAGTTTGCTGACATTGACAATCAGCAAACATGGGCCCAATAGCTTCCAGTGGCCGCAGTTCACTGTTCCAGCCAACTGGAGCTGTGGAAAGTTCTGTACATTGCAAAGACAAGCTAGCTATCCCTTCCTACAGCTCCCATTGTCTGGGAAATGCAACTAGGAGCTGCAAGGGGCTGTGCCTGCAGACAATCAATGTCAGCAAAATGTCTCATGACTCATCAGATGATTACCCCGACAGGCCAAAGTTTATCAATCCCACCTTAGCACAGCCTTCAGCTGCTAAGAATCTGCTAGCCGCACTCAGGATTTTTATCACAAATTACATATTCAATTAAAAAAAAAACCACATCTGGAGTCAAATGGCCATGTGAGAACCTCAGCTTTTAAATGTTTTTAAAAGAAATTTCTAGCCCTCTTGATCACAAAGAGTTTCAAAAGGTAATTCCTCTACCCCACAAAGCTCAAAACCAGAAGACAAATTAAAAGATCCTCAGATTTTTTTCAACTCAGAGTTTTGATGCCAATGTCATGATTTTTGAACCCTTCGCACTGGCAAAGCCACTGATTTACATATAATAGGCTGAGCTGCTAGTGATGTGTATAGCTAAGGTTGTCTGAGACTTCCTATTATAAGATCCCATTTTCAGTTGCTTATAACGTTAAAGCTTATAACATTATAACCATCAACCATATGAAGAAACTTGCACAGATACAGATTAGCCGCTTGGAATGGAAATCCATCAACCATATGAAGAAACTTGCACAGATACAGAATTTCTATCACTTATAACGTTAACTGATTTGTATAACTTTATTATTTTTATTTGCCTTCTGGTAGCACCTCAGAGCCTGGGTTTATACTCCTGATTGGTGGTTTTTTTTTTTAGGGTTGGGTAGGAGGAGGTGGGGATCATTCTGGTTTAAGATGTGACAACACAAGGGTCACCAGAAGATATTTAGAGGCACTTCCTGTCCATTTTCTTTTTCTCCCTTTATTTTAAGTAGTGGATTTAGTACCTGTAAGAAGCTTTTGCTTCCCATCCTCGGGCATGGATTCAGACCTGACAGGGCAGAGACAGTGGCCTTAAAAATTTCCCCATGACGTTAACTTGCCTTAACCTTGATCTAGAGGGACCACATCTAGATGGGACTGGGTAGTCGAGTATCCATTACATTCCTGACTTGGCTACTGAGCCTAGGGATGTTAGAGCACCTAATTCCCATAACATCTCTATGGGATTTAAGTGCTCTGGTCTTCCACCTTGTTTGTTACAAGTTCCCATGTCTCTGAGCTAGTTTATTAACCTTTGCCCCTTGTGACTTTTTAAACATTATATTTACAGAAATTGTCCAAGCCCACAATAGCAGAACACAGCAAAGAAAAACACCACCTGTGTCCACAGCGCCAGAGACCTTTGTATGTGCCCAGGCTTTTACAATTTGGTAAATACTTAGTCATGTCATTCTTGCTGAGGCAATTCCAGAGATGCTTCGTGGGCTGTGATGGCTCATTGTGCTCTGTTGTGAGCATGAATGTGATCATCGCCTTTGTTCTCAGCTGTGACCGCAGGAAAAGGCTACAGAAGTACAGAGCAGGTGAGAACAGGATTTGATCATGACACCAGCTAATGCAGTGGAAAAGCCTATTTGACCTTGCCTGTACTGAGTGCTCCGTCTCTGTCAGTGTCACATCAGCGAAGAATACTTCTTCACAACAGTCTTTTAACACTGCAACCTTCTGTGAGGCAGAGAAGCCAGAGGTGGTTGTATTTCAGTAGTGGGCGAAGTGGTCTTTCTAGTTCACAATGGCATTGAGAGATTTATGGTCTGGTTTTCAAAGATGCTGAACAAACACCACTCTCATTAATTGGAAAGCAGTTGTTTGTGCTATCACCTCAGAAAATACAGCTATTAATTGTCGGTAAAGTGCTTTGAGATCCTGAGTTGGGAGAAACTAAAGCTCAAAACTCAGTGAAAGTAGGAATAAGAAATCCTCCGGAAAAGGGTTTATTTTCCGGAGAATAACGTCTAGACTGGCGCTTTTCTCTGGCTTTTCCCCAAGCCGGAAAAAAGCGGCAGCCATGTTAATGCAAATGCCGTGGGGGATATTTAAATCCCCCGCAGATTTGCCTATTCCAATGTGCTATATTAGCATCCCTTTTCCGGAAGGGATGCCAGTGTAGACGTAGCCCTGCTGTGTAGACAGCACTAAAAGCCGAATTAAATTCTTTCCACTTAAGCCATGCAGTTGACATAGCTGAAGTTGCGTAACTTAATTTGACTTTAGCCTCGCTGGGTAGACTTATCTTGAGACCTAACATTCAGATCAACATAGCTGCGTCACTCGCTGGTGTGAAAAATCCACACCCTCTCAGGGCTTGTCTCCACTGCCACTTTACTGCACTGTAACTTTCTCGGGGGTGTGAAAAAATACCTCCTCCCTGAGCTCAGCAAGTTACAACGCTGTAAAATACCAGTGTAAACAGGCTTGCAGTGCTGGGAGCCATGCTCCTCAGGGAAGTGGTTTACCTCGAGCTCTGCTGTGACCACACTTTATGGCAGCGCTTTAAACTTAGAAGTGTAGACACAGCCTCAGTGATGTAGTTATAGCAACTTAACATCCTGTTAAGAATGAATATTTCTGTCCCTCATCCTGAGCTATTTCCTGCCCCACCAGGGTCTATACCACGGGTGTTCCCAAATTAGAGACATTCAAAGTGTAGAGGTTACAGTATATTTTGTTCAGAGCTACAAACATTTCAGCGGTCTGAACAACCTTACTGTTGCTTGCTAAGGAAGGTGTTATTCCAAAGTGATAAAATGCCTTCTTTTGGCATAGACTGCAGCTACACTGGCATAGACATAGGTACAAAGCTATTCTGGTTTTGTCCCTGTAGTGTAGGCATGGAATTGCATCTGACGCAAGAAAAGCAAAATATTATTAGCTAGAATCTAAAGGACTTTATCCTAGTCACTAGGCTTTTAGGGTAGACTAGATTGGAGGCCTGACCAATCATCCAACATTAACTCTGCCCTACTCATGCTCCAGTGTTTCAATAAAAGAAAAAATGGTGTCCAAGGAGATTCTTTTTGTACTGTTTATTTAGATTTAGCTTTACATACGAGGAACTGGTATTCTGAAATTATGTCACAAATAATCCCCACCCAGGTACACTGTTAACATACAAGTCAACTCGCAGAGCTTAAAGGGTAACATGATTACCACCTTTGCTGATCATAAATTAAAATATTGACTCAATGGTTGCATATAATTAAAAAAAAATCCTTATCAAATGTAACAAACAGAACAAGTGTGTCACATAAAAGTTAGCAGATGACCGGCCATGAACAAGGCCATAAAACTTACAACTGGTAAAAAGCCAGTTCTTACCTACTGTGGGTAAATTTGGAGCTCATGGAGGAGGGAATGGGTTCAAGCTAATGCGAACTGCAGGAGCTTCCCCACACTGGCTTTTCTTAGATCTTTTCTACCCAAGAAAGTTGCTTTGGTTTAACTTAAATTGGGTTTTGAATATGATTTAGTTGAACTAGCACAGAGAACCCTGTGTAAATACTCTCAGTTCATGCTATAAATGTCTTAATTTGGTTTAGGTTTGGTTTACGTAAGGACTAATTGACATAAGCCAGGTTTACATTGGTAGGAGAAGCTCCACAGTCTTTTCCAACACTGTCACTAGAACTGGTCTGGAATCATACCTTTTGTTAAGCCGCATAAATCTGTGTTTGGACAAGCCACAAAGCTAAAATGAACCAAGCCCTTCCCTAATACGCATTGGTTCTGGCAGTGATGACTTCAGCTTTCTAGTTTGAGGTTTCTCTTGAGATTCCTGATTAGGCCAGAATCTTTGGTGGATCTGTGATGTAGATGAGAGGGATTGAGAGGAGACCAGCACGTTAAGTCAATGTGTGATCTTAGGTATGTGACAGCCCCTGCACTCAGCTACAGGGACAAGAATGTTATTCCTGCTAGTAGTTTAGATGCTGGGCTTAAAAGGACACACTCAGTGCCCAGAATTTTCTCCAAGCTGGCACACCCAAGGTAGGCATACCTAACTGCGCATTTGCCAGGACTTACACAGTTTAGCCACATTTCTAGGAGAACATCAATCAACCCTCAGTAGGCTTGTCTTCAGTAAATTAAGTCGTGCTGGAACATGGCCTTGAGGAGCTGTGCTAACAAACAGCACTACATGCAATCTGGCAGCATAGGCAGAGGCTGTCACGTTTTACATTGTGTCAGCTAGTCTTGGGCTAGCCCATGGTTCCAGTGGACCAACTAGCACAATGGTAAACATGCTCTGTCCTAGCCTGCTCTACAAAGAGGGTTTTGTTAACATGACTCCTCAAACTTCTGTTCCAACACCATCTAATTTCCTCATGACGAAAAGCCTACTCAGGGAATTCTGATCACAGGAGATGCCTCAAGCAGCAGTGAGATACCTCCCCATACAAAACATCCCCATCCAAAGTTACAAAACGTCATTGGTACAGTTCTTGGTAAAGTGGGTGCCGACATGAGCTGCGGTTGACAGCTCTAGTCCAAAGTGTTTTTTAATTGTGACAGTGAATTTCTGACCGGGATCCTTCACTTTTGGAAATTAAGGCACCAAATTAAGTGAAAAGTTTACATGGAGCTTGGTGTACAAAGAGCTTGTATATCCAATCTGTCCTGGGGGACATGGCAGGAAGGAGATTTAGTTGAGATCTACATGTTAATCAAAGAGCAGCTTCTATCTGGAACTATAACAAAGGAATGAAGACACTAAGATACAGTCCTGTAAGAGTTTTCTCCCTCCTACTGGGGAGAAAATTGAAAAGCAAATTATGCAGAAGGAACCATCACACTCCACAGGTTCGATTGCTATACAATGGGCTATGAAGCTGGAAGTGTAGCTGGAGAGCCCGGGAAGACAGAGCAAGAGAGCTTAGAGCTGGGCAGCAGAGCACATGAACAAAGACTGCAATGATTATTCAATTAAATCCCTTCTGTAGGGACCAACAACCAGCTGTGATCTGGTCCATGACTGTCCCAAAGACGCTCTGTTCTATAGGGAGGGACCAAGTAAAGGCTATTAGGTGTCCCATTTAATTTGAATCAGGCTTCCCATTTTTTTAACTTGCAAGACATCAATACATTGCCGTGTACTCAGCTACCGATATGAAACAGTAAGAGAAGACTTGCCACCAGCAGCTCCCTCAACAGCCGCCCTTGAAGGGGTGATCAAGGCTGGAGTTTTTTTCAAAAGAGCTTTAGCTCAAATATTGCAGAAGCCAACCCAACTACAAGCTCTTAGCATAAGAAAAACCAAGGCTATACCAGTACCAGTATGCCCCAGTCTGGACGCTGTGTCACATGAAGGCAACAGAGCAGGAAGGCCTAGAAGTGCGTTAAAGGGAAAGTGTTGCACATTGGGACCAAAGATCTCCATCAACATCTGGTGAAATCTAGCCATTGAGAAATCCCTTATTTTGCATGTGTGACAACAGCCCAAAACACCTGAGACCATAGGAGCAAGACTGTTAACAGACACCTGGTAAAACCAAAACAGCTGCCTGTAAAAATGCGCTTTGCAGCAGAAATTAGGATGCTGACTGATTCAAGTACACAAGACCAGTACAATGTTGAAAATTTTGTTCAAGTGGTTGACAACATAAAAAAGCAGCAGTTTTCATTTTCCAGCTATGTTTTTACTCCAGTTGGGAGAGAAAGAGAAATAACTCCATACATTTTCCACACTGTATTAAGTTAAAAACAGCTTCAGCCTAACTAATTCAAGGTATTCTAAGTAGTCATAAGGATCAGGCTATAACTGTTTGAGTAGAGACCTATGCTAGACCTATAGTGATTATTAGCTCTGTACAAGGTTAAATCAGTAGTAACTGGCTATTGCATCAAGCACATCTTCTACACCTCCTCTCCTCACACGTCCATAGCAGAGAAAGCATTTTGTTTGTGTGGCAGAGAAGTCAGGGCATTTTTACTCCTGATTCACAATGAAAAGCGACTGCACAAATTCACTTCCTTCCAAGCACCTGAGTAGGAAAAGAACAGAAGCACAAATAAAGGAGTTACACTCACGGGAGAAAGAGATTTTCTTATCAGGAAAAACTCCCATGTCCTTTTCCAGTTGATGGTCCAAAAAAAGGAGCAGGTGCAAGTCCCATCTGCGTGTAAGAAGTCTAGACAGCCAAGCAAAATGGGCAAAGAATGGTTCTCCTGAATGAATGGAACAGTTATGTTGTTATGGCAGAGGCTATAGCAGGGAAAACACCGCCTCTAAAACAAAGACAGTGGCATTGGGAGATATTCCTGGAGCATCATCACAGATCATTCCCCATGTAGTCATGGGATTCTTGCAGGGAAACCGCCCCCTTTCAATGGAAGTCGGTGAATACTTAGCAGTGGAACAGATTTGGGTTTTTACCAACAGAATTTTCAAGTTATGCATCTGTCTTGCTGAAAGTTACTATGGAGCTGATTCTGCTCCTGTAATCAGCACAAGCAGGACTAGGTGCTTCATGCTACTAAGGCACAGTGACCCTTATGGGAGGCCACAACAGATGGTGCAGTTCCCTATGCATGCTGATGTGGATCTGGGTTTACCTCCCGACAGAGAAAGGAGCAAAATTTCCCCTGAGAAGAAAGCTTCTTCCCCGCTACGATCATTCCACGATGTGAAGGTAGCTGTAGCTTGAGAACCTTCGGCATGGCCAGGAGCTCTTAATGTGATGTGATAGTGTAATTTGTCATTGGGGTGATGGCAGCAGCGCCAGAGCCACTCTTTACATCACATAATATTCTGTTTTGCTGCCAATCTTAGTTAAGCCCAATTCTGCTCTCAGTTACACTCATGTAAACCCAGAATAATTCCAGTGATGTTAATGGGGTTACTCCAGAATTTGGCCCAAAGTATCCAGAAAAGCACTGGTGCATTTTGGATGTTACACACATCAAATAAGTTCCTATATGAACTCTGAAAAGCTGCGCTCACACAATGTGTGCAAATGTGCTCTAAAGCCCAGCAGCAAAACATCCCTGTGTGTTCAAATGTGGCACGGGTGGGAACTGCAACGGGCATTTTTTTTGCATGACCTGCCATTATGTCTGAAATCAGTTCAAAATTGCACCAGCCAAGTCTGGTTCCCTTCTGGGCTGGTGGCTCTGTCTCATGCTGGTCTAATGGACACACACAGAAAACACACGGTGAGGCTGTATTATGTAGCCAATGGGACTCCATTTCCTGTTGGCATGGCTGCAATTCCAGAATATCTCCCTTCTTGGGGTGACCAGGCAGGACTGCCCTGGAGCATGTTTCTAGGAACCATATTGCAAAGCAAAGCATTTCGCGAATAGTCCAGTGAGCTGGGGAAGGGGTTGTGCAGAGAAAATATTCATCTTAATGATAAGAGTAGATGGCTCATTTTCAGAGAGTAAGTACATTAAACAGGGTATGCTTCCCTTGGCCAGAAGCAATTCACTACAAGGTCAGGCAACCAGATAGCATAATCTTCATTAAAATGAAAACCAGCCAAAAAACAGCACAGTGATCCGGACTGCAGATGAGAAAGGTACTTGGCCCTCTGACTAATTTGGAAGCATAGTTATATCCTCCTACCCGTGAACCTCAGGTTTTGTAAATGAAAAAAATCTTTATTCATTATAATAAGTTCCTATATAAGTTCATACAGGTTATTTCCCCACCTCCCAAAGACTGGAAAGGACAAACACTGGTATTTGAACAGAAGAGAGGACGCATTTTTAACCTACCAACAGCTTCCTATACGTATAATACCTCCCTTCTCTTTTATTTCTAATACCTCACAATTAATACGTTGTTCTGATGCTCCCTTACATACAATGGCGACAATACGAGGTTTCTAGGCTAGGCTCAGAGGGCACTCTAGCTACAGGGATGTGTGGCAGCTACCTAGCACAGCAGATTTCTGGGCAGCTGCCTCTCTGTCATGACTTCAGTGATGGTGTGACCCTGTGGGCCACAGGGCCCCGCCACCCTTCCATCATGATGCAGGGGCAGCTGGACCAAACCTGAGTGGCAAACATGAGTGTATGAGGGGGAAGCAGAGGTTGGTGGCCTGCCTTTCAGCAAACCTGCTTGAGAGGAACAATAAATAAATAACGCGAGTCTGTGAACTTTTCTCCTGACATTGTACTTGCTTCTATATACACGAGAACACCGTATATAACGTATATACCTCTGTAGAGATCACAGGAAAACTTAAGATACTTAATGTAGTCAAGTGAAGACGATCTCAAAGACTCACTGGTGGTGAAAGACATCATCAGTGGTGACATACACATTTTCCCCAATCAATTCCTTTACACACTCTTTTTGCACAGCAAACAGGACTTACGGTGTTTCGTGCTTCCCCATCTTCCACGTACGCGGGGCAGAACTCACTTCTGAGCATTGTCCTTCCCCCTGGTAGGTTCCTACTGAAGCACCAAAGTCTCTCTGAACCTGCATGATGCATGTTTACCATGCCTATGAATAAAACATTGTTCATTAATAGATGGTGATTTAAAAAACAAAACAATCTGGTGGTTTAAAATGGCTGTGACTGTGACTATCACAGGGATTTGAACTAATAACCCATGACAGTAACAGCAAGCAGAAGGTATGATGATCCAAGGACAGGCCGACAATGGCAAGGCCTCTCCTGACAAAAATAGCAATTAGTCCTCTGTTGATTATATAAGATTCTGCCAGGATGCCTATAAATACATGCACATACTAAAGGGATTCTCCTGATTGTTACATTTGAAAACATCCTGAATAAAATCCAACCTGAAAAGCTCTTTTTTCTTAGAGTGAAGAGAAAAAAAGCCCAAAGACATTAGAAAAATGATCCATGTCTCTGTCAGGTGGGCATGGCACCTACCCGTGCTACCTTCTTGGCTCTTGAAAAGCACTTCACCAGAGCCTCAGCCAAGACTAATCAAAATAATAGACATAAATAAGCAGACTGTTTCTGACAGAACAACAACAAAAATAACAGCACTGTGGTCATGGCAGGAAATCTCTCCTCCTTGAGGAAAATCTTCTCCTGAGGTGGAAAACAAAAGGTGGAGAGCTTGAGTGTGCCTGGAAACATTCCAAGCAAGCCACATTTGCATGAGATCTTGTGGTTCAACTTCTCTGCAAAATGCAATCTAGCTGCTGACATTCTAAAGCCATCCAGGCTGCATGGCCTTTTTGACCAGTGCTAAGCAATACTTGGGATGAAAGTTAGGCATAGCCTTTGCAATCAGGTTACTGTCTGACTAGCACGAGAGCCTGCTTGAACTAGTGACTGCAGAAGATCTCTTGATGTCAGCCAGTGCCTACGGGAAGTCATGTGTTCTGATAGGATAGCTCAAACATGGTGCAAGACTCTTCCAGGCTCTCATCCATATTCAGTCTCCTCCAGAAGGACTTCTGCTTCTTCTGCAGCTCCTTGCGCACACACCTGGGGCAAGGTACAGACTTCACTTTGCACTCAGAGTGGAAGACAGCACCACAGATTTCGCACCTGCAAACACCAATTCGTTTTGTTAATGAAAGAGACATGTCAACAGCTGATTTTAGCAGGAGATGCTTGCTGGGACAGTTCTGCAGCTTAGGTGTTTTTGCACAGCGAAGTCTTGCAGATTCTTTCTGCTTCACATCCCTAAAACTTGACTTTTCCTATCCATCCACACAGCTAAAACCCTTGTTAAGTTCTCAGAGTCTCATGTCTGGGGCTGTCCCTAGGTGGTGCAGGGCTTGAGGCAACTCCTCCAGTGCCCCAGGTGCAGGGCCCAGAGCAACCCTCCCCCTGCTTCAGGCACCACACCATTCCACCCCTCCCCCAAGCCCTGCCCTTGCTCCATGCCCCTTCCTCTGAGCAATGTGAGCGGGAGATTAGCTGGGAGCCTGGCGTGGGGCGCAGCAGGGGACAGGCCCCCCCGCACACCTTTCTGGGGCCAGGATGCTCTGTTTTCTGCTGCTGAAGGGCAGGGGGCGGCGGGGTGGAGCAGAACAGGTCGCTCCAGCTTTCACTACCATGGCGAGTAGGGGGTGACCCCTGCTGTCGCCCCGGGCCAGGCCCCTGGTATTCCCACCAGTCCCATCCATAGGGTGGGAAGGTGGATGTCACGGGGCCCCTCCAAGTGTGGCCAGTAAGGGGCGTGCTCACCAGGCAACCGCTTAACCCTTTGCACCCCTAACATAAGCTACTTGTCTTCATTTTCAATGCCCTTCCTGTCCTCTCATTCAGTAAGGAAAGGTCGATTCCAGCTTTTGATTGGATCTTGTTAAATTGTCCAGCAAGCACTGTCGTGCATTCTCCCATGCTGCCCTGCACCCTTGGGAGGAGCTCCCCATGAACATCTGCTTCTCCTTCAATTCCCTCTTCACAACTCTTCTTTGCTGCGTGCCTCCACTAAACGGGGCAGTGGTCAAGCCGTGGTGTGCTGAGTGCCCAGCTCGTCATGCTGACCAATGTGGTTTCATTGCTTCCTGGCACTCTCCCCTGTCTGTATCCACTTGTCTCTTGTCTTAGGCTTAGATTGCAAGCTCTTTGGGGCAGGGACTGTCTGTTCTGTGTGCATCCAGCAAAGAGGGATCCTGGCCCATGACTAGAGCACCTAGATGCTACAATAATACAAATAAATAATAATGAATAATGGTAAAAGGAGGCAAAAGGCACTACATGGGCATGCACAGAGGACAAGCTCCCCAGATTCTGTAAAACATGAATGCAGCTCTATTGAAATCAATGTGTCCATGTGTAGCTGGCGAGTATCTACTCCAGGATTTCTCTGTGAACAGTAATTACAACCATGATGAGTGTTTATCTTTTTAAGTGTCGATGTCAAGGCTCAGTAGGGAACAGGAATATTTATCTTTTATAGCGAGATTGTGTTCTCCCTTTGCTATTTTATAAAAGGCAAGTTTTCTGCTTTAGTTTGCATAGCCTGTGTTATGCAGGAGTTCCGACTACAGGACTGTAATGGTAACTCCATTAGAACATTTTAAAAAAATGTGATTGATAATTTAGAGGACACCCAGCAGTCTAGCAAACTGAGCAGTTTGTTATTTCACCACTCAGGGTGTGTCTAAACTACACCCCTCTGTCAGCAGAAGGATGTAAATTGGACATTTTGAAAGTGCAAATGAAGCAGGGATTTAAATATCCCGGGCTTCATTCACATAATCGCATCGTGGCGCTGTTTCAAACAAGCGCCATTTTGAAACTGAAACCGCAGTTTAGACGCGTTTTTTTTTTTGACAACGGGGCACTTTTTCAAGAGATCCTGTACGCCTCAAAAAACGAGGAGTACAGGATTTTTTAAAAAAGCACCCCATTGTCAAAAAAAACACATCTAACCTGCGGTTTCAGTTTTGAAATGGAGCTTGTTTGAAACAGCGCCACAACACGATTATGCAAATGAAGCCCAGGATATTTAAATCCCTGCTTCATTTGCACTTTCGAAACATCTAATTTACATCCCTCTGCCAACAGAGGGGTGTAGTTTAGACGTAGCCTCAGAGACAATGATATCAGTGTACTAGTACTGGATTAGGTACTGCTGTGGAGCATGTTAATAAGGGTCATGCAACATTACCATAATTATGGAGAATTAAGCAATTTTAAATTCTCATTTTTTCAGTGCTGTAGGGACAGACATGTCACAGGTTTGGTAGCTGCAGCTTTGCAACCAAACAAGCAAAGGGATAGAGATACGTAATCTTAGATGAAATACGTGTATGAAATAAAGCCAAGAGGAGCAGATGAGTCTTTAAAGCAACTCCCTTTTCAAATGTAAAGGCATGGTCAGTTCTCATGACTTCATCATAAATCTTGTGATATGTGAGGTTTTCTTTCATTCCCAGCTGCTGGAGTCAGGTGATTGTGTGAGAGCAACAGGTTTCATTTGAATAGGAGCAAGTTTCTGACCTCCAGGGTTGCGGAGAAAAGATTGAAAATGGGAAGCAAGTGATGCCTTAATGGCTGAGAACCAGGAGGCAAATACCTCACCCTCATAATTTATTTAAAAGATGTCTCAAGATTTTAAAGTCCACTGACTGGTTCTCAGAGTCCAACTCATGATTTCTAAATAATGGGAGTGGCACTAGGGATGTAAGCGAGTAGTCGAGTACTTGACTCCCCAATAAGTCTAAGCTTATCAAGTAGTCCAGTCGAGTACTCAACTATTCACTTCCCTCTCCCCTTGCTGCCTCTGTATCAGTGGCAGCCGGGGGCAGGAGCAGGAGCAGGAGCTGGTGCTGGGGGGAGCCGGCTTAAAAGCCAGTTTCCCCAGCACCATCTCCGCAGTACCACCTTCTCCCCCCACACTGATGCCTCTATCAGAGGCAACACCATGGGGAGGAAGGCAGGGGAGGCTGCTGCGAAGCAGCTTCTACCTATGGCAGACCAAGGCTCGCATGGGCAGAGGCAGCTCCGGCAGCAGCCCCTGTTGGAGCAGCTTCTGCCTGCAGCTAGCCTGGGCTGCTGTGAGCTGGGACTGCTCAGTCCGGATTGTGCCCGGTCCATGAACTACCCCCGCTGCGGCTCTGCAGTTTTAATGTAGTAAGAGTTGGGCTGCCTGCACACCTGGCTCTTACTACATTTAAACTGCAGAGCCGCAGCAGAGGCAGCTCCTGGACCGGCGCAAGCCAGGACTGAGAGCCTTCACTTATGAACTAATTGATATTCTGTACTGACTATCGACAATTTGTATCGACTACACCATTAGCCAATTACCAGCCTCTTACCATCCATAGGTGGCACCAATGGAGGAAATGCAGGCATAACTAGCCATTTCTTCATGCACGTGTGCTGCATGTACTCAGCTCCTGAAGGCACTTTAAATGGCAGGTATAAGCTTTGTCCAACACTCCTCTGCCCCACGGCTGGGAGAAGGACCAAAGGAAACATTGCTGACGTCAATGCAGCTATGACAATGTACACCAGCTGAAGGCAGACCCCATACTCCCACTAAAGATGATGTTACCTTGCCTCAAGATTTGGCTCTCTGGGAGAATCACAACCCATATCCAACTTAAGCCTCATGTGCCATTGATTCAACGGGAATTCTCACATGCGTCAAGTTAAGCATGTGCTTCTGCGTGCAGACATGCATGTATTACACACCTGCACAGATTCAAGCGAACGAGAGAGAACTGCCATGCCCTTTCAAACCTCATCATTCCAAACTGACGCTATGGTGAGTTTATCAAGTAATTCTCCCTGGTTAGTCAGTGATTTACAATTCTCTATAAGTTGCTAGAGGTTAATGATTGGTGAGGAGTGTAATTTGGTGTTCAGTGCCACTCCCTTCCCTCTCTTGACAATTCTCCCCAGTACTCGGGGAAGTGACAAAACTTATCAGGCACTGTGGAAATGGATGCCTGAAGGGTGATAGAGGAGGTAACCGCACCTGCTCTTGCTTTCCAAAGGTCATTTGTGGGGGAAAAAATAAGGATTAAAGATTTCAGAATTAATACAAATGTATTTATCAAATACTTGGTAAGTAGGCAAGAAGCTCAGGCAGGGATTGCTCGTGAAATTAGCAAACCACTCTCATTTCTCCCAGACACAGTGGAAAGAATTTTCCTATTACAGCTGGGACCTCCATGGTCCAAGTCTCAAATAAGGGAATTTGCCAGACCAGGTGAGGTCCCAGGCACCTTCCAGCTCTGCTATTGGCCCTATCCAATCCTCACTGCCCTCAGCCAGCTGTGCTGCCAGTCTTGGCTGGATCCCTCAGCCCAGGGACTCCCACCTGTGGGGCTTCCCGCACCGCCTCAGCCCCTGCCGCAGGGCTCCCACACACACACTGCGGTGCTTCCCGCATAACACTGACATAACACTGAACTCAAAAGATCTCTAGTTCGTGCAGTCAAACATGGCTGCCCGCTGCTGCTCCAGCTCTATGCAGGAGGTGGGAGGCTAGAGAATGCGTCTGTTTGTCTCCAGTGCATATTCCAATTTTAGCACTGCCACAAGAGTAACTGCACTGAAAGCAAGTGACTTCACTAGGGCAAAACAACCAAGAGATCAGAATCAGGTCCACTGTACCTTAGAACACAAAAGATGATTTTCAGCAATTTTTCAGCATCCTAGAGTACCAAGCCATATACACAAATGAAATCAACCTGCCAACAGTTACCAGTATCAACTGACTGTTCACATCTCAGTTCACTAGGAAATATCTTCCATGGATGACAGAAAACGAGATCCCTTGTAGGAATATTTCCAACACAGCACTTCTTTCTACATACAGAAATCTCATTTAACAGAGTCCACCAAAAACATGAATGGCTGCTGGGCTTAAATCTCCCAGCCTAGTGATTCCTCTTGACAATCTGTTTGAGAGACCATCTCCGCGCATGCAGAATGTGGACAACATATGGGCATGGATTTCTCAACAGCTACAAATTGATGTTTAACTATTAGAACGCTTTTCTACTTTCTCCAAGTTGCCATGAGGCAGAGATCAATACTAGGAATCATTGTTAAGTGCTTGTGGGTTGCTGCCAATAATT